TCTCTGGTGAAGCCTCTCGCCGCCCCTGAGCCTCTGGCCTCTACCCCAGTTTTGTATGCACAAATAAATCTTAAATCTTAAAACAATTGGAACTTCCGTTGGGAGTTGTATTGGATCTGTATATTAATCTGGGGATGTATTAGTTTGCAACAGCTGCCACAATAAAATACAAGATTGGTTGGCTTAAACAACTGAAATTAATTTTCTCACAATTCTGGAAGTTGGAAGTCCAAGAGGAAGGTGTTGTAGGTGTGGCTTTTTCTGAGACTTTTCTCCTTGGCTTGCAAATGGCTGTCTTCTCACTGTGTCCTCATGTGATCATCCTTTCATCTATGTTTTCTGTGCTCTAACCTATTCTAATAAAGACACAAGTCATATTGGATTAGAATCCACCCATTTGACCATTTTATATTACTATTTAGAGCCCTATGTTCACATATAGTAACATTATGACCACATACTGGTGTTAGGACTTAAACATATGAGTAGGGGGTGGGAGGGGATAAGGCATGATTCAACCAATTATGGGGGAGCACTAGTATTTTCCTAATATTGTTTCTTTGAATTCATGAATAGTCCCCTTTTCATTTTTTAAAATATTTTTGTTTTTAACAAAATTTATTCTCCATGGAGGTCTTGAATATTATGTTGAATATTCCAATTTATTTCATCATATCACTCTCCCTACTGTTCTATGGTTTGTATCTTAGAAAACTGACACTTTTGGGATCCATCAAAAGTGGCCTCTGACTGGGTTGAGCCAGTGGGAAGCATGGTGAGGCGCTCTGTCTGGATAGCCATTTCCCTGTCTTGCCCACTACTGAGCTGATGACTACCAGCAGCAGTTGTGTTCCTGTCCTGATTCAGGCAACTCTTCTAACAGCCTTCTCCTCACAGTTGTGTGAATTCAAGTTCCAGGAACTGTTCTTTTCCAGTTGCTCCTTCTTATCTGTGATAAATAGCCATTTTCTACCAGGGTTTCCTCACCATTCCTTGTTGGTCATTTTAGCCCATAGCTTAGTAAATTTTCCATCCCATAAATTCATCTCAGTCTCTGCATTTCTGTGTGTCAATTTTTTTCTACTGGGAAATACATATTGTCAGATTAATTCCAAAGTAATTTGTATTTCTTGATGTACTTTATATCACGTGCTTTAAAATTACATTTTGTTTGTTTTGTATAAAATATAATTGTTTTCACTATACTTTAAAAAAAATCCAGCAATCTTGCTAAACTCTAATTATAATAATTTGTATTACAGCTTTTTTCTTGACATATAATCGCATAAGTGACTTTTACTAAATCACAGATTTGTTACTTTCTTTTTGACATTTCATCTTTTTGTGTCACCTAAACATTGAGTATGATATTGTATTGTAGAGATACTACAATCATCTGGCCTTGTACCTTACCTAACAGGAAATGCTTTCAGTATTTCACCACTAAGTGATACATCATTCAGATATGCTGTCAGGTTAGGAATGGTCCCGTCTGTATTTAGTATCTAAGAGTTTTTATCATGAAGGAATGTTCAATTGTATCAAAAACATATTTTGATAAATTTTCTTAGTCTTTTAACATGGTCAATAGCACTGATTTTTTTCCTAATATTAAATAGAACTTACAGCTCACACAATTGATCATGATACATCATTCTCTTAGAATTCAAAATCCAAATGAACAGAATTATTTATTGATAACATAGTTATCATTTACACAATCTTATACAGTGAACCACAAATTGAAAACATTTTAATATTCTACTAATTGTTTTAACTCCTTTGTAGCTTTTTATTTTTTTATTGCCATCAGTGATTCAGTACTTATCAGTAAACTATCACTTGTTGAGCATTCACTCAGTGCCATTCACTTTTCTGGCACCAGAATTTAAAGATGACAGCCATAGTCACTGCCATTAAAGAGTTCATAACTAAAGTGTGAATGGAATGTGTGTGCTGGATCATAGGGTGAGGCTATCAGAGAGAGGAAGTAGAGCAAAAGATAACAAAAGAATATAGTAAGTGCTGTTCTGTAAGTGAATGAATAAAGCTCTAAGGAAATAAATGGGGAGAATTTCAAGTCCTTTCTCAAATCATTATCATTACACTTGACTCTTGGATGACACATATGTTCATGGCAAAAGGATAGGGGAAAACATTCAGATATTTGCACTGTTTATTGCTGTGTGACAAGACATGAAGGCCTTGGGGATAACTTAGTAAGTTGCAAAAACTGTTTTCTGTTTACATTTTAACATCAAGGGAAACCATTTTCCAGAGAAAGGAGCTTTCCTGCTTAGCAAAGCTTTTGTATGAGCATCCAGAGAAGCGTTCTGGCTGGAAGAAATCAGCAAAGTTCCTATTTGTATATTTTTACCTTCTAGTATTTCTATATTTTACATTTTATAATGTGCTTAAGTTTTATTTTGCTTTCAGATTTTTATAATTTATACCTTTAAGTACCATTTCATTATTTTGCCATATTCTACTAGTTGAAAGCAAGTTACTAAGTTCATTCACTCCATATGCAAGGGGAGAGGATCACACAAAGGTGTGAAGACCAGCTCCCACTTCCCAAACTCCCTCTCAAGTAGCTTCAGTCCTGCAGTTATATACCTAGGCTTTGTTTTGTCAGTCCTTTTATTTCGTTTGTCTACATTCTACTTGAGTGAAATAATATTTCTTTTATCCTTCTGGATTGTTCTATTTAGGAAAATCCCCTCCAGTTTCATCTTACAAATAGCAACATTTGATCTTTTTTAATAGTTGAGTAATCTCTCATTTTTATGTCCCACATCTAAATCTACTTATTTGTGGTTGGGTATTTGACTACTGTTATAGTGCTGCAATGAATGTAGGTGTGCAGACATACTTTCAAATTAATGCTTGTGCATCCTCCAGATGAAAGCCAAGGAGGAGCATTGCTAGGTGAAATGGTCAAAGTATTTTTTTTTTAAAGATTTATTTATTTATTCATATGGAACTGGGGTACAGGCCAGAGATGTGAATGGTTAGAGGATTCACCAGAGACAGAGAGGGGAGCAAAACAGGCAGATCTACGCAGTACACTGCTGAGGGGAGCAGCGGGCGGGTCAGGAGAGGTCTGCCACGCCATGTGGATCTCCTCCGGGGCAGGTGGGAATCGAACTCATGTGGAAGTAGCTTTAGCTTCTTAGTGCTGTGCTTTAACCCGCTGCGCCACCGGGGAGGGCCCTGTCAAAGTATTTTTAACATTTGAGAAACCACCGCATTATTTTCCACAGGAGTTGGACCAGCCTGTCTTCCCACCAACAGTGAACAGGTTCTGGCCATTCTCACAGTAGTGAAGTGGTATCTCATTTTGCATTTCCCTAAGTATAAGTGATGTTAAATATTCTGGGTAAATGTCTTGATTTCCTGCCAATTTCTTGATTTTGTTTTTTATTGCGTTGTATGAACTTGGATCTTTGTAAATATCGCATTTTTCGGCCACTTCAAGTTTTACTGATGCAACTATTTCATAAAAATAGTTGATCTCTCTTACAGAAGGAAAAGCAAGGTAAACTTAACTGCATTTAAAGTCGTCTACTCCTCATGACTAAAACGCTAGCAATACTGTAAGTTACCAGCAAGGGCAACTGGGGAATTAACATTTCTTAAGGGACTTACTTGTAGACAAACCCTGAGGAGCTGCCTAGGTTTTAAATACAAATTGTTAACAGTCGCAGGTCTCTACTGAACGCACTCCGATTCTGTGCAGGTGACGGGTGCCCAGCACAGGTCAACCGTTTGGCCTGTTCTGTATGCACAGCGGAGAGGGTATGAGCAGGGCAGGAAGAACAGTTCTCGCGGCCGCCAACTCCACCCGGACAAGAAAGGACCTTTAAGGAGGTTCAAATGCTGGGCGCGAGATTTTTGCAGAGGCCGGGCTTCTCCATGCGCCGTACGTAGCCGCCGTAGGGTCTACGTCACGTGCACGACGTGAGCCGAGCTGGCGCCTGCGCGCTTCAGTACCGCTCACTTTCTTCTACCCAGAGAACCCGCCTCCCCACCTGATCGTCACTTCCCTTGGTCGCTTGCGTCACTGAAGTCGTCACTTCCTGCCGGTACCGGTGTGCACGGTACAGATCGTGGCCACCGGTTTTCCTGTTCTCCCCCTCCCCGACTTTCCTCCCTCCCTCCCTTTCCCTCCCGCGGCGGCGCTCGGTCGCGGGTCGCAGACTCCCTGACCCATCCCTAACCCCTTCCTGACCTGGGCGCCACCGAATTGGCCTTTTCCCCTGTTTTCCGGCCCAGTTCCAGTGTCTGGGCGGGGGCCTTGAGCCAACAGAGAAAAGACTAGACCACTCTCGGCTGGAGAACCGGATCGCCGCCGCCATGGCAATGAGGCAGACGCCGCTCACCTGCTCTGGCCACACGCGGCCGGTGGTGGATTTGGCTTTCAGCGGCATCACGCCTTATGGCTATTTCTTAATCAGCGCTTGCAAAGGTGAGCAGGGCCGGCGATCCGGGCCTCATCGCTAGGACTGGACCCAATGGGAGTGGAGACAGCACTCCGCGACGCGGTGGGGTTGTGGGGCTCTCGTTCTTTGAGCTATGGCCAACCGGGTTCTGATGGAGAAAGGGGAGTTGTTGGGAATTTCGCGGCTGGCGCCCAAAGGCTTTTCTGACGCCTCTGACAAGGCCAAGTGGTGCCTCCCAACGGAGGCCTCTCATTTTACTTTTATTGCTATTTCTGGAGAAGCTGGCCTTTCTTAAATGCCCCAGCCAGTTAATACAGTAATGATCTATCAAGGATTTTAGAGAAAGGAAAAATTAGACCAGGTTTACCCTGTTTTGCAGATAAGTCAGTTCTATTAGCTCGTTGGGTATCCCTTTGTTTCATTAGCCCAATTTTTCATATGCAAACATTTAGGTTAAGTTTTTCCAAAATCAGACTCCAACTTTGACGATTTTGATTATGATCCGTATTCTTCTCATCCAGTTACACTTGCCTCACTGAGAATGTCTGGTCCAGCTCTCAGCTTACTTTTTTCTAGACGTTCCTTAGTGACTCCAGTGAGTGAGAATAGTTATACCTCAACAACAATTTCCCTTTTGCTATTCAACAAAATAATTTTATGTTTAACTCTTAGGTTGTCAGTAATCTGAACTTCAGAATCACATGTCTCTTAATTCTTTTTTAGATGGCAAACCTATGCTGCGCCAAGGTGATACAGGAGACTGGATTGGGACATTTTTGGGTCATAAGGGTGCTGTTTGGGGTGCAACACTGAACAAGGATGCCACTAAAGCAGCTACAGCAGCTGCAGATTTCACAGCGTAAGTGTAGCCAAAATGACCAGCATTGGAGTACTGTGTGAATTGTGGTCTGAAATAATCAAAACTGAAGCCTAAGTTCCTCATCAAATTCTAACTCAGTGCCTACCCTATAGAACACATGGTTTTGGATCTTATCAAAATTCCATCTTGGTGTGCTTCTTTATTTTAAGTGATTCTCAAAATGTTCAGTCCTAGATGACCTTTTCATTATGTTTGAATTGGGATCCAGGAATTTGCATTATTAACAGGTGCTCCAGATAGTGTTAGAGGTGGTGCTTACACATGTATTGCCTTGGTGATTACATACACTTCCATGACTTCCTAGTGTAATGGCTTCAGTCTCACTCTCAGACTTGTTAAAATGGATTTAGACATACACAACTCAGCTACTTGTCAATTTCCAAATTATGGTCATCTTTGTGAGTTCTACCTGCAAAGTACATTCTCACTTATCTTGGCTTTGCTTTAGTAACTACCTTACATTAATTCCCTTCTACTCATGATTTTCCTTCTGTTCATCTTTACTTTTCTATATAAAGATCGCCCTGTCTTTTGCTATTTTGGTTGTTCACAAACTTGGGTCTGTAGAACTTTTAACATATTCAAATACATACGTCTCAGAAGTTTTGGCTTTTTTAGTCTGTGTGTCAAGTCCCCATCATCAGTGTTTCTTTTTTCCTTCCCCTACGTATTAGGCGGTTTTTATGTGAAGACTTAGAACCACCAGTCTAAAGGTTAAATTTCAGTTGTTGGCACTTTAAAATTTGGCCCCATCATGGTTCATCAGAGTTCTGTTCTAGCACTGTGTGCCATGTGTCCTACACTTTATACTAAACTTCTGTTGCCAGAGTATACACAACTCGTTTTTGGCTTTTGCATATATTACTGAAGTATCTTGATCTATAGTGACCCACTTTTCCCTTCTAATTTCCCCTTCATAGCTTATGTAATTTTCAGATCTCCAGTTCCTTATTGGGTTTGTTTTCAACTTTACTATTTAATTTAAAATTAAATGTTTAAAGTAAGACAATGTCAAGAGCTATTGTATGCACATAAATTTTATTATATATGAGAATCTGGAAGGCGAAGTGGTTTGATTTTCTTTTACACAAAATTTCATACTGAGGCGATTGTAAATGTCTTGCTCCTTTGTCTTAAACAAGTTAAATATACCAAGATTGTTATGAAAAAACAGATTGACTGGTAGATTCTGCACATTTGTTTGTTCTCAGAATTGTATGCCACAGAATATTATAGTGGGTTTAAAAAGTAAGTTAAAAATAAGGAGAGGGAGGTAGAGTACTTTTATGATTTTAGGTAGTGAACGTTCTCTAAGGAAAGCTTTAAATACCAATCCATACTTGTTCTGTGCCTTCAGTGAATAGATTGCTTCTATCTCTTTATAAATAATAGTTGTGCCACTTTAAGGAGCTACTTGGTTTTATATAAAGCTTTTAATATCAACAAGTTCAGGTCATATGTGGCTTTAGGTATCAGCACAACTTGCTTATCATCTTTCAGAGACACTTGTTATTTTTGGAGGTGAAAGTAGGAAGTAAAAGTGGTTCTCCAAAGCACAAGAATTAGGAAATACCAGAGGGAGAGGTGTTATGTCCATTCCCTAATTTATGGTAACACCATTCCCTGCATCGAGATTTCTGGCACGGTTACAGTACTTAACTGATAAATGTGTCAGTGCTTCTTGAAGTCAAGAGCCACATCTAATATTTTTGTATCCCTAGCTTATTCACTGCCTTATGTTTCTCAAATAACTTGAGGAAATTTTCTGAAAAAAATAAAGGATAAATACATTAAAGATGCTTCTGGGACATTTGTTTCTTATTGTCAAATTTTAGCTTTTTCTCTTCACTTTTTCCAAAGTTGCTCTTTCCCTCAGATCAGTATGAATATTGTCATTGGGAATGAATGTCATTAGTTTTATAAAAGAGGTAGAAAATTGGCTTTAATACGGTATACAACTCTAGGTTTCAAATGTTGATAAGTGAATTTTAATAATGCCATTAAAACAGGATAGGTAGTAAGTAATAAACTTATTTAAAGTTGAATATAATTATGTTACAAACACTACAAACAGCATTAAAAGAAACAGATTTTTGCAGTGCACTTCTGCAAAGATAGATTTTGTTAGCCTTACTTGTGTGTTATCTGGCCCTGACTGTTAATTCTAGGAGCACAGTGCTTTCTCATCTGTGCTTAATAGTCTTACCTCTGTCTTTAAGAGAACCATGCAAAAGCTTGTTAGGAGCGACATCTATTAATGTAAAACCTGTGACAAGTCTCTGCGTGTTTGACAGAATTGTAAAGGCAGCTCTTTTAAGAAATAAAGGGCATTTGATAGAAATTATTGTTTAAGTGCTAATTCTGACATGGAGACAAAGAAGTGTCAAAAATATGACATTACTGTCTTTATGCTTATGTATATGTTTAAATATCTTTGAGTCTTGCAGAGAGTAATCAGGATTTTTCTTACCATGTTGTCAGAGTAAACATCTTTGTTTAAGGCACTGACAGCGTTAGTAACCAAAGTTGCACTTTTCAGACAGGTCTGTTTCTGTGGGAGAGGTACCTAATGTTGTTTTGTGCTTAGCCTTTCTGCCTCAGTGTTTGTTACACAAGCAGTATGAGAAGCATGAATGCTGGAGATAGATTATATTTGGACCTGCTGCCATTATCTGATTGTTGCCACTTTGGGAACTTTAACCTCTCTTTTTGTCAGTTTCATTGTCTTTAAAAATGAGAGTATGTGTTGGTTGATTAAATGAGTTAATGTTTCAGATACTTAGAGCATTGCCTAAAATCTAATAACTGCATGTGTGTTACATGTAAATTTTGATGGTAGCTTCAGTTCCCAACTATTACTACCAGTAGAAAGACAACAGACATGTTATTTTTGGAACTTCTGTAGCTCATGCCTTGAAATCTTTTGGTTTCCTATAAGTTTGAGTAGGATTAATTTTGCTGCTTCTTCCCATCCTACCCCCAGGTCTCCTGTCTAATGCTTTTAGGTGTTCATACATTCTCTAGACAAGTGTGAATGTTATTCCAGTGCTGAAGCTAGCTAAAGCTCCCTTTGCTTACCTGATTGGTTATAATTGATATAAATATTTTTTAGGAAGATTTATCTGTCTCATACTTATATTTCATTATTGAAAATTAATAATATTTATGGAAATTCACCAATGTCATGTTTATTTAGAGGTGAGAAAGTTTGTGGGTGGGTTCACAGTGTTGCCTTGAGGTACTTTGGGCAGAGCAATCTAGTGAAACGCCATTCTCATCATTGCTTTTGATTCATAAGTTTGATAAGCATTGTATCCTGTGATCCTGCCATCAAATCATCAAGAGGGTGCCAGAAGTAGAGAAGGTTCCTTTGCTTTCTTCAAGAGAATACTTAAGTAGATCTGAAGTTGGGTCCAGGAATCTAGATAATCATGTTTTGTTTATTGGAAAAGCTATAGAAAGATCTAAATTTTTCTCTGAAAGAAGGTTTTCAATCCATGTAAGGAATTTCAAGGCTTTTTTTTTTTTTAAAGATTTATTTATTTGTACAGAACGGGGGTACAGGCCAGAGATGCGGAGGGTAAGAGGATTCACCAGAGACAGGGTGGGGAGCAGAACAGGCAGATCGATGAGGTACATTGCTGAGGGGAGCAGCGGGCGTGTCAGGAGAGGTCTGCCTCATCATGTGGATCGCCTCTGGGGCAGGTGGGAATCGAACTCATGCGGAAGTGGCTTTAGCTTCTCAGTGCTGTCTTTAACCCGCTGCGCCACCAGGGAGGGCCCAGGTGTTATAGCAAGGCTTTAACGAAGTAAGTTAGCAGTCCCTCTTGGGGGACTTTATAGTAGGTCTCAGGATATGAAAGGTTTTGAACAGATAGCATCATTGTATATTGTGTGCAAGAAAGGCTGAGAATGTAAGAGGTATCAGTAGTTTAGGGAGATAGCAAACACTAAGTGAATTGTGCAGCACAGAAATACTGCGAATCAGCTGATGAAAGGCACTTGGTAATGATGCCTCATCTGTCTTGATTGGAGCCTTGCTGCCAGCTCCTTAGTTAATACTTTTTGTTACAGGTTGAGAAAGACAGTAACAAACATGAGATCATTCCACATGCTTTTTAGGACTGGAAACAGGTTTTCAGATTCACTCTGCAGGTTGAGACTACATGAAAGTAAAGTGATTAGAGCATGATGCGTTGGGTGACATGCCTCAATTATTAGTAATGTTTTAAAATAGGATGAAAAAGAGTCCAGTGACAATAGACAGCTGCTGCATGATATTGCTGTGGTCACTACACCTATTTCCTCCTGACCAGTAATGGACATGGTCAAACAATATTAAGACTTTAAAGCATTTTGGGGAGATTATTGAAGACATTGAAATTGGAATTTCAAAGGACAGTGTCCTGGGAATCTTTGAGACTCAGCTTCATGTGACTAGGAGTGTTAATTTCAAATATATTTGATATTTTCTTCAATTTGCATAGCAGCAGCAGCCGGTACTTTTAATCTTTGGGAAGTCACTGATTTCCCTGTGATTAAGAGTAGACATGTAAACAGAAAGTGAAGCAGAATGAAGTACAGTAATCAGTATGAGCTGAGTCCACAGGAAAGAATGGTTGGTGGAGGTGAGACAAGATTTTGACTGAGTAAGTAGCTGAGAAAATAAAATGCACACATAAGAGACCAGTGTGAACAGACATAAGAACCTGAAGAAAATAGGTGATTTGTTTGAGGACTGTTTTATAATCTGGTATGATTAGATTTTATATTATTTTTTAAATGAGGCTGGGAAAGTAGGTTTGGGCCAGAGAGTTGAATTATAAATGGGAGAAATTAGGGCAGAAAGAGAAATGAGTACTTGAGAATTCAGTAGCCGTTCTACTCAGAATTATTGTTATTTCTGTCAGAGCATGTTTAATTAGCCCTCATAGGACCCACATATATAAGACGCAGTCTGTGTCGTGTCAGTATTTCTTCCTATTAGGTGATCATTTGTTTCCCTTCCCCTTGTGGTGTTAACGCTGACAGGGTTATACTGGTCCTTTTTAAGACTCCTGGCTCCCTGCTTAGAGTATTGGACTTTGTATAATTAATCATATAATTTTTTGGGTGTGTTTCTATAAGCTGTAGCTACTTGTCTTTTATTTATCTTTATTCAGCATGTTACTAATGCCTTTTTTCCCTCTTCAGTTAAAGGGTGTAAAACTCTACTAGTGCTGGAACTTAGTTGGGCATAGTTTTTCCTCATGGTGTGCTTGATACATTTATTATAATTGAATAAATAAAGAATAGATGTCCTTTGCTTTTTTTCCCCTTCTCTACATTTTTATTCACTTTATTCCTAAAAATTCCTGATGTCAGTTACATTAAAATAGAAGTCTCTGTGGAGCATAGCTTGTTCAAACTTAACAAATCTTTCTCCTGTGTGCAAAGTTTTCTTAATTTTTCAGTGACTACTTCCAGTCTAAAATGAGTTTTTTTCTCCCCCTTTCTTCCTTCTCATTTTTTTTCTTCAAACTTTTTTATTTGAGAAACTTGTAGTACTTATTTTTTTTAATCATATATGTGTGATTATAGGCCAGCACATACATAATTTGGGTTGGGGTGGGTCAGGGAAACAACAAATTGAGATTAAAATCAGTGTTAGCATTTATATAATTATGACTAGTACTTTGGTGCAGAAAGTTAATTGACTTACTTGCATTTCAGAATTTAGGACTCAACTTTGAGGTAGAGATAGGGAGAATATTTTCTGTTTTGATTTAAAATATTATAGACCCTGGGTCAGGGTCTTAAATTATCATATGATTTTTTTTTTTAAGATCTTGTTTTCCAAGTATATGGTGATAAGGAATAGAGAAAAAGTTGAAGAGGTGAAACTTGAAATTGGTTCAAGTGGTTTGTGATCTTGCTAAAAGGATTTTATGATTACAGGCTAATGTAAAAATAAGAGTAAACTGGTTCATGTATCTGATTTACTTAAATTCTTTTTTTTATAACAGTTTATTTTTACATCATTTACTTAAATTCTTATATTTTACTCTATTCAAATTAGATTGGTTTTGTGCTTTTCTAGAGATTTCATGTACACTCAGTAAATATTTTATCAAATGAAGTCTAGCAGTGAGTACTATTAGAGATAATAGGTACTTAAAGTACATTCATGTAACATTGCACATATCTAACTTGTTTGGTGATCAGTCATCATAATCACCATTATATTTTTCTTTTCATATTCTTTTTCGCTTTTTAGCAAAGTGTGGGATGCTGTCTCGGGAGATGAGTTGATGACTCTGGCTCACAAACACATTGTCAAGACTGTGGATTTTACACAGGTAATCAGCAAATGGTATTAGTTTTAGGAAGTTAAATTGTACTGTAATAGGATTTGACAATGGTTTTGTATTTGATTATTTTGTATGTTTGGTTGATAATTTGTTTTTTTGGGGGGGTGACTTATATTGACTTTTGTTTGATTTGATTGGATTTATTTTTTCTTGGTTAACCCTGTGAGGCTTTTATGATACACTTGAAGCTTATTGCATCCTCCATAGCTAGTAACAGACATCAAAAGCCCAAGTATTATTTCCCAACTACTTTGAGAAGATGGGAGGATAAATTTGAGATTTTCACAGAAGTGCTGCTCAGGAAGGAGAGAAGCAGGGTCAGGACCCCTGTGGTAGGGGGTTTGATTCCCTAGAGTAGGGAAGTTCAAGGGCTGGGGCTGTAGCTGTTCCGCTTGCCTTCTCAGAGTGATTGTGTGTATTGCATCTCTGTGAAATCTGTGGGCTGTATTTGGGTTTTTTGTGTTGAAGAAATTTCAAAGAAAGTGGTTAACCTAAATTGTATGTGTGTCTGCTTTTAGGATAGTAACTATTTGTTAACTGGTGGACAGGATAAACTCTTACGCATATATGACTTGAACAAACCTGAAGCAGGTGAGTATAATTTATACTTTTGCTTTCTTTCACTCTAGTTTTCCAGATTAAAGGAACTCATGTTCAATACTCAAACTTGGAAAATAGGGATAACTATAAACAAAAATTACACATAATCCATCACCCCCCCTTTTTTAATTAATTAATTAATTAATTAAATTTTTTTTATTACAAAGTTTATTTTTACATCATTTTGCACATTTTTTTTTTTCCATCTCGATTGTAATCCCCGCGGGTTTCCCATCACCAAATCACCCCTGTGCCACTACCATAGTCCTGTGCATT